GTGCACTGAGCTTCCCCGGCAGCTCGGTGGGTTGTATACGCGCTACGGGGCATGCTGAACCCTCGCCTGTAGACTGGAGGTCAGGAGCAGAGCCGCCGCCAGCGATGTTAATAGCTCCATGAAGCTCTCCTCTGTGCCTCGGGCTCCTTGGGAAGGCCTCTGGCGCTTCGCTTGTGGCTGCGGTGCAGCCCTGAGAGTGGGGTAGGGAAGGGCGTTTGCACTGTTGCTGCGGGCGCAGCTTGTCTCCGCAGGGTCTCTGGCTGGAACAGAGCCGGGAAGGGAAGGGTCCAAGAAGCTTGACTTCCAGTGGTTTCGATTTGAATGGCTGTTTGCGAACCGGTGGTTTAGTTATGGCTCCCTGTAGCTCAGTTTCGCTGGCTGTAAATGGGACTCTCCCCGTCTAGGGCTTTACGTGAGGTGCTCTGGTACGCTGATGGAAGGCGCTGGGACGTGGGGGCGGATCTCTGGGCCTGCGGAATCTTTATGCAAATATAAAGAAGCTGTTTGCTGACTCTCCTTGTTGTGCCGTCAGAGTCGAGACTGTCTTCAGCTGGGTCCTCCTGCTGCAGGAGAAGTCGTGCAGGTCAGATGGACGGATGGACAGGTCTACGGAGCCAAATTTGTGGCATCACATGCCATCCAGATGTACCAGGTACCGACCTCCCGTTGCTCTCCACCTCCCAGTATTCCCATGGGATGCTCTAGGCAGCTCCACGCTGTGGTTCGGCAGGCCAGCCAGGCTAGCACCCTGTGGTCCAACCCGCTCAGCAAGGGGGGGCGTACGGGGTCCGTTCCAGCATGTTGGCGGCTGTGTGGAGAAGAGATTAAACCTGCCAGTCTGGGGGGCGCGCGGACACGCGATAGCTTGGTGCTGCGGGTCCTGCTAGAGGTTAGGTCTCCTTTGTGACCCCTGATTCTAGCCAGGTTCAGCTGGGCGGGTTTCCTCCCAGTCCCGTCTGCACAAATCCGTGGGCTGCCCAGAGAAGTGATTCACACCGTAGGGCTTATGCCACACGGCCGCCTAGGCGACGTCTTCTGCCGCCACCCTCAGCAATGACCCCTGCAGGGGTGGCGGCGGTTCCCCGCAGATCGTGTTAAAAGGGTTAGGCTGAGCCGGCACAACACGGCAAGTTCAGAAAGTTAAGAATATAACCTGGGCAGACAGAGGGTCCATCCAGCCCAGTGACGTGCAGTGTCGGTGCTGGGGGGGTCTGGCGCACGGGGACGTCGGTGCTGGGGGGGTCTGGCGCACGGGGACGTCGGTGCTGGGGGGGGCGGGCGGACGGGGAGGTCGGGGCGGGGG